AATATCCCAAGCTCGCGGATGAAAATGATATTTTAAAACCCTTCTGCCCAGGCCATTTTTCGCTTCTGCGGTCCCGTTTACGCTTATGCGGGACCGCTTCTGCGGCCTTCTCTCCGTTTCTGCGGATCCTCTTAAAAATCCAAAAACCGCTTCTGCGGTAAACCTTTCGTTTATGCGGACCCGCCTATGCGGATAATTTTCCGCTTCTGCGAAAAATGCTCGACCTTAGCCCTATCGCACCTGCGACGTCTGCCCCGCTTCTGCGCAACCGCATCTGCGATTTTCTTTCCGCAGATGCGGAAATACCTGGTGCTGCCAAAAACCTGCAATTCCAAACTTCAAATTTCATTCCGATAGCCATCCGAAATCACCCCGAGGCCCTCGGGACCTCAACCAAAAGTGCCAACCCATCCTAAAACATCACACGAACTTGTTCCAATCATCAAAACACATCAACTAACACTAAAATCCTCAAATTACATCGAATTCAAGCCTAAGTTCTTCAAAAACTTCCGAAATACGCAATCGATCAAAAACCCGACCAAAACACCTCCGAATGATCTGAAATTTTGCGCACACATCACAAATCACATAACAAAGCTACTGCAACTCTCGGAATTCCATTCCGACCCTCGGATCAAAATCTCACCCATCAACCGGAATTTGCCAAAATACTAACTTCACCAATTCAAGCCTAATTCTACACCGGACTTTCAAAATAAATTCCGATCACGCTCCTAAGTCACAAATTATCCCCCGAAGCTAACCGTATCACCGGAAATCACATCCGAGCCCTCTAACTCAATAGTCAACATCCGGTTGACTTTTTCAAACCAAATCTTCCTTAAAGACACTAAGTGTCTCATTTCCATCTAGAACCAATCCGAATCAACTATAACACACCAAATACTGATAATGAAACATGAAGAAGCATAAAATGTGGGAAACGGAGCGATAACTCATGAGACGACGGGTCGGGTCGTCACAGGATATCAATACTGTATGCCACCTTCCCAATGCGCTTCACAATGGACAGAGGTCAATGTATTTTTGCAATAAGCATGGGTCTTTAGTCCTCGCAAATAGTTAATGTTTTGGGATTTTCATCATCACTTTGTCTCCAATAAAATATTCCACGAAGCGGTAGTTTTGATTATCATGCTTCTTTATCTGCTTTTGGGCCTTCTCTAGATAGCTTTGCACTATCTCGGTTCTGCTTCCATTCCTTCGAGAAGCTGGAAGCTCTAGCAGATTTTGACACATTTGGGGCATTTATTGTATGCGGGAGGAGTGGTTACAGTCCAATAATAATTTCAAAAGCGCTTTTGTCGATACTCGGGCTCTTTTGGGCGTTGAAACACAACTGAGTAGTATCCAAGAGCTTCACCCAATCTTTCAATGGCATACTTGAGAAGTACCTTTGGTATTTTACCTCCTATAGCAAAGGTTAACACCTTATTTATTCTAAATAAATACTATTTAAAAAAAAATTATATTCTATAGATACCTTTTAATGTTTATAACAAAATTTCTGATTTTGGTTACCTCCTACCCTTAAGCCACTAAATACGCTATTCAGTTACACTATTTTCTTTCTCTCTCTTCTTTGATACATGTCATTCTCTTCCCCCATTCCCTGAAAACACATGCTCAATCTAATTCATTTCTCTCGGCCACACCACCTCTTCCCGCCTTCCTCCTCCTTCCGCCGCCACTTCTGCCATTCACATCAGTCAAGCCTAGGGTTTACACGAGTTCTAGTAGATCAACAACAGTAGTGTTTACGTTGAAAAGGAAATATACAACAACAGTAGTGTTACATGAGTTCTAGTAGATCAATTCAGCCCAACTCGGTCAAGCCTAGGGTTTTTCCATTCTTTAAATTTGTCCTAATAAGTTACAGGGATATTCGGTGAAGAGAAAGAGAGAGAAAGGCGAAAGAGTTCAGGGTTTTTGCTCGACGGCGGATTCGCCGAAAATTAGGGTTTGTTCTTGAACAAAGACGACGGAGTTTGGGGCTGAGCAACTTGATTTTCTGTTAATATATTTCAATGTATTTTCAACGTATCACGCTCATGTATTTCATTGTATTCATTGTCTTTTTATTCATTGTAATTCAATGTATCTCGCTGTATTCCATGTATTTCATTGTATTCACTATCTTTTTTTCATTGTATTTCAATGTATCCCGCTGTATTCTATGTATTTCATTGTATTCACTGTCTCGCTATATGCCATGAATATATTCATCTGTTTTTTTTAATTAATATAATTTATGTATTCAGATGTAATATATAATTTTTCTGAAGATTGCTATGATTTTAGGGTATTTTTCGGTTGAGAATCTTTTTATAACTAGATATACAAATTTTGTGTGTTATAATTGAGTTTGTTGAGTTATATTAGGAGTCTATTATGTTAATTGATTCACTTTCCGTTTAAAAACAATGTAATCCCCTATTTCACGCCGTGAATACAGTCGAATACAATAATCTGTCCAGTTGTAATCCCATGTTTCACGCCATGAATACAGTCGAATACACTCGAATACAACTGATTAGCTGGACTTCCCTGATTCACGCCTATTTTTGTTACTGTATTCATGAATACAATAACTTAAATACATCAAATACATCTTATGACAACAAAAAAGGTATCTACAATCCGTAATATAGCAAATGGTATCTATAGATAGCTAATTACCACTCAAAGATAGTGCTTTAGGAAAATTCCTACTTTGTTACTGGCTAACTAAAGCTGGTCTAAGCTCAAGTTCTAAATGGGCTTATAATAGCCCAACCCAACTCAACTTAAATGGGCTACCGTCCAGGTCTAGCCCGTGTCCCACACCTCTCTCTCTTTTGTTTCTTGATAATGAAAATATACGTGGTATAACGCAAATTTATTTTTCTTTCACCCACTGCCCGTAATAATTATTTATATATTTTTTAAGTATTAACATATTCGGCAAGTCAGTCAAAATTAATTACAACCGCTTAAAAAAAATACTAGTTATATATAAAATATGTATGTTATACATTAATATATTAAAAATAATCATTTACCCGCTATTATTTGAGCGCGGAAACTCAGTGTGGATCTTCCATCTTTTTATTCGTTAACATTGTTCACATTCTGTATTTTCAATCTTCTTTGTTGCCCAGTTCATAAATGCATTCTACATATATAGTAGACATAATATTCATATTTTTATTAAACATTTGATTTTCCATATTAAAAATATATAGTTTAAGATATGTATTTATGCTTAATAGTTCTACTAATTTTAGGATTTTCTTACTCATCCATTTTCTAAACCTTAATTTTATGAACTTAGCCAAGTAACTGCACCTCTGTAATTTTGGCATAACATGTTTATTATCCAAATCCTTTTCAATCTCCATTAATGTAACACTTGGGTTTCGAACCTACATGAAAATTGATTGGAAAAATATATTGAAGATTGAAACAAAACAAGAAACAAGAAAGCACAAATAAATTATCCGCTCTCTCTCTCTATTGACACTGTGTGTCCCTAGATCAAAAATTGTTAATTTTGTTTTTCCTAATTATCTATTTAGAGTAAATATATATATTTTTTATCTTTTGCTGAATTTTTGTGTTTTCGGCTACAGGAGCCATCCCAAAGCTAAAAATAGCACGGTATAGCCAGTTTTCGGACTGGTCAATAAAAAATAGCCAGCGTTTATCAAGTCAATGAAAAATAGCCACCGTTTTGCTGCAATAGAGACCGGTCCAGCATAATATACTGGAGTTCGGTGCACTTGTGCATGAACTCCAGCATATTATGCTGGACCGGTATACTTTGCTGGCTCCAGTATATTATACTGGATCAATATACTTGCTGGAACTCCAGTATATTATGCTGGAGTTGTAGTGTACTTATGCTGGAACTCCATCATATTATGCTGGAGTTCCAGCATACTATCCTGGAACTCCAGTATAATATACTGGAGTTCAAGTATACTTATGCTGGAACTTTAGCATAATATACTGGCGTATATTTAGGGTTTTGAACAGTGTTTTCGCTCAGATTTATCTTTACATAAAAAGTGGCTAAAGTTCGATTACTTTTGAAATTGGGCTATTTTTGAACGACCAGTTGTAAATCTGGTTATTTTTAAATTTCTCCCAAATGCATGAGGTCGCGGGTTGACTTATGTTGGGCTGAAAAGCCACCATTTTAATTGGCTAGACAAATGCCAGCTCAACCCAATCAAATTAGCAAGTTTGGTTGGATCGATTTTAGGTAAAAATAGTACGGGCTAACTAGTTTTCGGACTGGTCATTCAAAAATAGCCAGCGTTTGCAAAGTCATTGAAAATTAGCCACTATTTTGCTGCAACACGAAAAATTCCAACATAATATACTGGAGATCGGTGCACCTGTGTATGAACTTCCAGCATATTATGCTGGAACTCCAACACGCAAAAAGTTCCAGCATAATATACTGGAGATTGGAGCACCTGTGTATAAACTTCCAGCATATTATGCTGGACCAGTATATTATATTGGAACTCCAGTATATTATACTGGAATTCCAGTATATTATACTGGAGTATTTTTCGGATTTTGAACAGTGTTTTCGTTCGGATTTATCTTTACAAGAAAAGTGGATAAATTTCGAAGTGGATAAATTTCGATTACTTTTGAAACTGTGACTATTTTTGAATGACCAATTTTAAATCTGGCTATTTTTGAATTTCTCCCCGATTTAGTGACGAAATCCATTTTAGCGGCTCTACTTTATGGAAATGCGACGTGGTAATCACCAAAAAATTAGCTGGGCTAGCCACTTTTTAGGTCGTCTATTAGAGTTTAGCCAGTATTCCAAATATATTAGCAAAGTAGCCACTGGTCTGACTATATTAACGTTTTTGTCCTAACTAATGCATGGAACAACTCCAGCAATCTGTGTTGGATTTGAAAGCTTCCAGCACCATATACGTGAAATTTCAGTACACAATCTTGAAACATAATAGAAAAGAGAAAATTAAATTGAAAAAGGAATACATTCTAGTTTTCACAAAAACACGAGTCTGATACAGTTAGATTTTAGCCTTTTTCTTTTGACATCTCTAGCCCCTCCTACATTTTCATCTTCCATATTTCTTAATCACATTTTCTATTCCCCCCTCTCTACATTTACATAACTTTCTCCCCCTTCTTAGTGTGAACGTACATCCTGAGGATTTTCGACAACTATGATATACAATGTTAGATTAATCTTTGTGCTTTTAATCTGCAGTTTTTGTAACAATATTAAGCCACTTCTACTGTTGCTGGTTTAAGATTTCCTTCACCAGATTTAGCCTTGGGTTTAACTGCTCGCGACGATCTCAACGTAGATGGTGAACTAGATTTTGGAGAGGAAGTCGACTTCGGCTTCCTCCGTTTGTGTTTCCTAGGAGGACTAGGAACATCTGAAGTTGTCATGTCCTTGTAAACGTTAGCTGCTGTTTTTTGTCTCACTATCTCTCCACAACCTGTTCAAAAGATACATACAAACAGTAAATCAAATACAAGGAATATAGATAGCTAATTTAACTCTGGCTCTGTGAGTTTGGTCATATTGCCGGTCTGAAGCTTGGATAAGGAAGGAAGGCGTGGTAGATTGATAATAACAACAAATCCAGTAAATTCCCACAAGTGGGGTCCGGGGAGCGTATCCTTACCCTGAGAGAGCAAAGGGGCTTTTTCCTATAGACCTTCGACAGTAGGTCAATAACCAGTATAAAACTAATTAGCTTATGACGAATCCTCACCATCAGAGGCGCACCTACATATAGCGAAGAGGTCAACAGACCCATTAACCTCGGCAAAAACTCTAGATATACATGTGCATATATGTTGAAAGCAGTCAGATATTTTGCCTGGAACCCTTAAGATCAAAAGTCCGAGGGGTCACTGGTCGAGCAGTCCGCTTATGTACCCTGCCATCTTCAAATCATGAATCCGCCTACGCGCACGATACATAATAAGTTGGGACATGTTTACCTGCATGCCCGTTACGTACTTACCAAGCTATTTAATGATATACGAATATATCGCCATCTTTAAATTATGGGTCCGCCTACGCTCACGATACATAATAAGTTGGGACATGTTCACCTGCATGCCCTTTACGTACTTACCAAACTATTTAATGATATACGAATATAATTTGATGGCTATACATTTCTTTCTAATCTTTCCCAGAGTTGCATTTAGCACTTCAGATGTTCTGAGATTTCTACATTTAGGATCCCTGGTGCAAGTCAAGACTTTTTATTTAGAAAGAGACACCACATTTTAATTAAGTAAGCAAGTCTCTTTCTTGGGACATGTTAAAGATCTCTAGTGACATATGAGCCAAAAAAAGTTTCCTTTTTCTAAGGCAAACATCTTAGAGAAAAGAAAAACTTCTCTTTATTTGTAGAAAATGTTCTATTAGCCATATAACAAAACATAGGACAAGCTTGTTATTTTCCAGTCAACATCTTGACCCGTGAGAGAGCAATATTTGGAATTGTCTAACTAGGGAAACTGCACATGATCTAAAATCTATGTTGCTTGGACTCTCCGAAAAGTCACCAGTTGCGTGTTGGATCCTTCAAAAGTAACATATTTTTGAAGGATCCGACTAGGGTGCGGTAACATTTTGGAGAGTCCGCGCAACATAGTCTAGAATTACCGGACAAAATCATAGTTATAGTGTTTTCAAGACATCTTTTGGTTGTTAATCTCAACAAGACAAAATACGTTAGGTAGGTGATTTCTTACTATCTACCTAAACCTTGGCAGGCAGGGTTACTTGGTACATGAACTGATAGGAGATATCATGTACTCGATGAAATAATTGAGGTGTACATAAACTGACCCGAATACCGTCATTATAAAAGAGAGGACAGTTTTTGGTTGTTAATTGTTTGGCTTATTCAATGGATGTTTGTGGTGTGCAAAGGGGAAAAAGAGTTAAAAGTAAAATTAACCTTGAGATGACCAAGCAGAACCAGAACTACCAATAGAAGTTGTTGCAAATTCCGGCCCTGCCTTGAATGCTTTCATCTTGTATTCCACACAAAATAAAACCAAAAAAAAAAAACAGAAATGTCAGGTATGACACTTCAATTGTATAAGCAATTCAAGTTTAGGGTTATAAAGTGAAAAAGTATATCACCTAACCATGGTTAAATGGTAACGCCTATATGAAAGACGTATATTTTACATGGTATAAATATCGGGTGCAGATAATTTTTTGCCGATGCAAATATGTGAATATAAGGGCAAAGGGGCAACCCGGTGCACAAAGCATCCTGCGCTCATGCAGGGTTCGGGGAAGGGCCGCACCCTAAGGAGATGTGATGTAGGCAGTCTTCCTTGATGCAAGCATCAGTGGCTGATTCCACGGCTCGAACCCGTAACCAATAGGTCACACAGAGACAACTTAACTGTTGCTCCAAGCCCCGTTCAAATATGTGAATATAAGAATGATAGAAAAAGATAATAACATACCCAAGTGGGTGTATTTCCAGAGGGACCTTCCCAACCAATATGTGCCACATGTTTAACATCAGTTGGACAACCTATCTCCAACTCCCTCTCCTTAACAACTGTAATTTAAAAAAACATTTTTACCTTAGCCTCAAAATTAACCCAAAAAACACACAAATTCCATTGAAGGGAAATGGCATTACCAAAAATACTGGTGATATATTTGTAAATTCCCTTCACTTTGGTTGCCATGGTATAGATATATAAAGCCCCAAAAAGCCAAGTGTACTCTGCTTAGAGATGAAACGGAACACAAACAAAAGGACCACGCCAATAGGATAAACTGATTCCTTTGCCTAACCAAAAGGAAAACACATTAAACAGAAAATTAAACTAAAAAAAGTTTACACTTTTCATACGTAGATAAAAAATGCACATTGCAAAAAGGCAAATGGATCTAAATATCTTTGCTATATTGTCCGAAATGGTTCAACTGAATCCCCATCGCCAAAAGTACGTAGTAAAGAAAGGGTAAAACAATTCGAGGTATGATATTCTTGTCCGGTGCACAAAACGTTTCGCGTTCACGCAGGGTCTGCGGAAGGGACGCACCTCAATGGGGTGTTATGTAGGCATCCTACTCTAATGCAAGCATTAGTGGCTGATTTCACGGTTCGAATCCGTGACCTAGAGGTCATGCGGACACAATTTTACCATTGTTCCAAGGCTATCCTTCCAGGCAGAGGAGGACCTACACTGTACCGAGAAGAGTCACTGGCACTTGTAAAGTTCGGTGAAAATTTCATGTATACATGTATATGTTTGTAGAAAATAGTGATTATTAATAGTGGAACAAAATAAATTTTTGTTGAATCCATAAGTGCACCACCGACCTTCAAATCCTAGGTCCGCCTTTACTTCAAGGTATAACATTGTTGCCTTTTTTTCAAATCCCCTTATTAGAATTCCAACGTTCTTGATTGAAAAAAGAAAAAAGAAGATAAAGAATGTAATGACACAATACAATACCTTTTTAGGTATACAATACCATGCAGAATAAAAGGAGATGAAAAAGGGAAGCTTATTTTATCTCCTTTTAACTGCATTCCCCATATATTCTTTCAAATATTGTTTGCATGCAATAAGCATGCATATATGAAGAACAAATTAAAGAAAAGGAAATTAAAAAGCCAGAAAGTTGGTGGATCCAAAATGAAGGAGAAAAGATATGATATTAGGGCAAAATTGTCCAGAGGAGTTGAAAAGAAACCTTTGTGTTTTTTCTTTCTTTTTCTCTGTTAGTTGTTTGAATGGGGCAAATTTTTTGTTTGGATAATCTAAAGATACAGAGAGGGAGAAGGAAGAAAGAGGGATGAATAATTAGAGAAAGAGAAAATTAAGAATTAGAAGTAGAGGTGGACAACTACCTAAATCGTCCAAAAAGAAAGGTTGAGAGGTTGGCTTACAAATAACATGGACAGAGAGAGAAACACAAGAAATCATGTATTAGTATTTTTTTTTTTATAGAAAAAAGGTGGTGTTCAGACGAATTTGGTTACACCTCGACTATTAAATTGGGAATTTTTTATTCTTTACCGATATACAGAGCAGAGGTGGATCCAAGATTTTAAGATCATGGATGCACCACGATACTTGTCATAATTGTAACGACCCGACCGGTCGTTTTGCATTTTTGAACCCCTTCCCTTAAATAAGACTTCCTTTGCTTTAGCTAATTTATGACTTGCGGGGACGGGTGGTTCGGAAGTTAGAAGAGTTTTGAGCAAGAATAAGTCTAGTTGTTTCTTTAAGTTTCTTTAAAAAGGCCAAGTTTGACTTCGTTCAACATTTTGGGGAAACAGACCCGGAATCGTAATTTGACAATTTCTGAGGGTCCGTGGGAAAATATGGGACCTGGGCGTATGCCCGGAATCGAATTCCGAGGTCCCTAGCCCGAGTAATGAATTTTTATGTGAAATTGTTAAGTTAAAGTTTCAAAGGTTTAAATAAACTAAGAAATCATTGTTTTCCTAGGTATCGGGTTCGGATTTCGATTCCGAAACTTGGTACAAGTCCGAAATATCAGTTAAGACTTACCCGTAAAATTTGGTGTCAATCCGAGTAGTTTAAGGGCGTTTTGACCCGTTGGAGGAGAATTAAGAACTTGAAGTTCAATGATTTGATTCATTTGGTTTTGGGGTTGATTCCTCGATTTAGCGTTGTTTTGAGTGTTTCGAGGGTTCGAGTAGGTCCGCCTCGTGATTTCAGACTTGTCGGTATGTTCGGGCGGGGCACGGGAGCCCCGAGCGTCAAACGAGCGAGGCTCGAGTGAAGTTAGAATTTGGAAAATGACTGAAGCTTGCTGCTTCTGTCATAACCGCATCTGCGGTTCTTGGACCGCAGAAGCGGGACCGCAGATGCGGTCATTAGATCGCAGAAGCGGAGAAGGGGCAGGCCAGGGGAAACCGCAAAAGCGGCCCAGGGACTGCAGAAGCGGTTCCGCCTATGCGGCCCCTAGACCGCAGAAGCGGTCGAGCCCCAAATCCCAAAAGCCGCAGAAGCGGAAATACTTCCGCAAATGCGAAAATAACTGGGGGCAGAAGGGTTCATTTAATACGAACTCAAACTCATTTCTCTCATTTCTCACTTTACACTTAGGCGATTTGGGTTCTTCCAAGAGAGGGTTTCCACATAACTTGGTAAGGTAAGTAATTTCCCTTCATCCTTAGCTTAATTACATGTATATTAGGTAGATTAAACACCAATAATTTAGTAAAAATCAAGGATTTGAGCTAGACCTAGGGTTTTAATAAAACTAAGAATTTATCATAAAATTTGCCATGTAATGAACTAGAAATCATATATTTGTGATCCTTAGGTGATAGAGAACAACTTCCTTCGAAAAATCTCGGAATCCGGGCACGTGGGCCCGGGGTCGGAATTCAGGAAACTTGTGTTAATAGTTAGAAAATTGCCTAAATAGTTAGAGTTCGACCTGGTAAGCCTTTATTTACTAGTTCTTACTTCGTTTGATTAGTTTGGGATTGTTCGGCTTCGAATTAAGGACTTGGGCTCGTTCTTGGACATTGGAAGTGCACTTTGGAGCGAGGTGAGTCTCCTTTCTAACCTTGTAAGAGGGAATTGTCCCCATAGGATTATAAATGAGTAATTGTTGTTAAATGCGGGGGCTACGTACGTACTAGGTGACGAGAGTCCGTGTGTAGCTACTATAATGATAATTGTTCGGGTAGTTTAGGACCCACATCATGTCTAATTGGGTAATATTTTTGTTTTAAATTGCCAATATGATCATTTATGATTTGCTAGAGACTTGAGGAAATGAAAAGTGAACTTATGAGTTTGTTGAGTCTTGGTAGGAATTCCCTTGTATGTAATTGAGCCTTATGTGCTTTCCTGATATTTTCTTGATGATTATGGACCGGGCCGATCGCCTCGGTGAGAATAGATGCATCTATGGTTCGTGCCGCTCGACCCTCAGCAGTGCACAATTTATTTTCTGTTGGAGCGGGCCGTCGACCTCGGCATGATTGTGAATGATTTATATGCTTACATTTAGATATGACATGATCACTTGTTTAATATGAAAAAGGGAAAACTGGTAGTTTAATTATGTCAAGACCATGAATATGACTCTTCTCTTAAACTTGTGTTATTGGAATTTCTTCATGCTGTATATCTCACTTTATTATTATATTATCTTGACCTTAGTAAGTATCAAGTTGACCTCTCGTCTCTACTTCTTCGAGATTAGACGGGATACTTACTGAGTACATGTGGTTTATGTACTCATACTACGCTTCTGTACTTAAATGTACAGGATTTGAGGCAGGTGGATCTGGACATCATCCTGGTGCGCATCAGTGAGCACGCTTGGGGACTTCTACGGTGAGCTGCTTCTCTTTCATGCCGATCCGCAGCCGAAGAAGTCCTTTCTTGTACTTTTTGTTTCTGTCTATCCTAATTCAGACAGTAGGATAGTGTATTATTCTTTCGTGTATATTCTACTAGTCGCCCGTAGCTTGTGACACCAGGTTCTGGCACACACAGTAGTAGACATTTATTTTGGGGTTGTATCGCTATTTTAGCACTTTATGATCTTTACTGGTCTTATCTTTAAATTCGAAAATCTAGTATAACTGTCTTTGGCTAAGTAAAATGAGAACTTAATCACATTCCGCATCGGCTGGCCTGACAATGGTGTTAGGCGCCATCATGACCTATTATGGAAAACGGGTCGTGACAACATGGTATCAGAGCACTAAGTTCACGTAGGTCTCACAAGTTATGGGCAAACCTAATAGAGTCTTGTAGATCGGTTCGTAGACGTCTGTATTTATCTTCGAGAGGCTATAGGGTGTTAGGAAAGACTACTTTTTATTCATTTTCCATCGTGCAGTGATCAGTGTACTAAATTTCCTCTTCTATTCTCTCACAGATGGTGAGGACTCGTACCGCCGACGTTCCGGACCCGGGAGGAGCTGCTCCCTCCGTTGCTAGAGGCCAAGGTAGAGGCCAGGGGAGGGCACCGGCCCGTGGTAGGGGACGAGGGCGCCCCAGAGCTATTCCAGTTGCACCACTAGTAGACCCTGCGAGGGATCCCATTATTGAGGAGCAGGGCGAGGCGCCCGCAGCTGTGCCTACACCGGTGGATTTCATGACTGTGCCGGGATTTCAGGAGGTCATGGGACGTATGCTTCGGTTCATGGACACTATGACTCAGGCTGGTTTATTTCCAGCAAATCCAGCTACCTCACAGGCAGGAGGGGGAGCACAGACCCCTACCGCACAGGCTCCAGTTCATACAGCCGCAGTTTATCATACTCCGGGTGCACTACCTGCGGAGGGGGTTCAACCAGTTGCTGCAGCGGCACCCCAGCCCAGGCCAGCTGTGGACGGCGATCCGCAGAAGTTGTTAGACAGATGGACCAGGTTGCACCCTCCAGTCTTCGGGGGTGAGCGTCATGAGGATGCCCAGGATTTCATTGACAGGTGCAGGGATAGACTGCATAACATGAGGATATTGGAGTCGCATGGAGTCGACTTCACCACTTTTCAGCTGGAGGGCAGGGCCCGTAGATGGTGGCAGTCTTATTTACTTAGCAGGCCAGCAGGCGCTCCTCCCCTCACTTGGGGTCAGTTCACTCAGTTGTTCCTTGATCGGTACATTCCACCCTCTGAGAGGGAAGAGCTACGTCATCAGTTTGAGTATCTGGAGCAGGGTCATATGTCAGTGACCGACTATGAGGCGAGGTTCTCTGAGTTGTCTCGCCATGCACTCATGATACTCCCCACAGAGGCAGTGAGAGTACGGAGGTTTGTTGATCGGGGTTACATCCCACTATCCGGTCGGGTATGGCTCGTGAGATAAAGATGGGCACTGGATATCAGCTAGTACTTGAGATTGCCCGCAGGATTGAGGGTTACCGTTTGAGGGGTAGAGAGCAGATGCAGCAGGATAAGAGGGCCAGATTCTCATGAGAGTTCAGAGGCGCCCCAGCCAGGGGCAGAGGTCACTTTGGGAGGGGTCAGCCCAGTAGGCCCCTAGTTCCAGCACCACCACCGGCTCGGGGTGCTCCAGCGCGCTCCTATTTCAGCTCCATGCTAGAGAGTTCTTATCGCTCGCCAGCTATTCAGGGTTCATCCAGTGGGTATTCAGGTCCTCCGGAGTCTTCCGGTTCTTATTTCAGTGTTATGCCGGAGAGTTTTTACCGCCCCCCCCGGCTATTCAGGCTTCTTCTAGTAGGCCTTCTGGTATTTAGGGTCAGCCATCCGGACAGCAGGCCGCCGCACCACGTTGTTTAGAGTGTGGGGACGCAAGGCAGTACAGCAGGGGCAGCAGCCCATGACTCCAGCACCAGCGGCCGAGCTGCCTAGAGGTGGAGAGCAGACTGGTAGAGGCCGTTCCAGGGGTAGGGGCCAGACGGGGAGAGGTCAGCCAGCTACTACTCAGTCAGTTGGGGGCCAGACAGCTGGTGCTCCAGCTAGATTCTACGCTCTTCCAGCCAGGCCAGATGCATTGGCCTCAGATGCCGTCATCACAGGTATTATTTCCGTCAGCGGTAGAGATGCATCGGTGTTATTTGATCCAAGGTCTACTTATTCATATGTATCATCTCTGCTTGCTCGTTTCCTGGCTATTTCTCCGGAGCTTTTGGGTGTTCCTGTTCATGTGTCCACTCCTGTGGGTGATTCTATGGTTGTGAATCGGATTTACCGGTCTTGTATGGTTACTTTCTGTGGTCTTGGGACTAGAGCAGATCTTCTGTTGCTCGATATGATCGATTTTGAGGTTATCCTGGGCATGGATTGGTTATCTCCATATCACGCCGTTCTAGATTGCCATGCCAAGACTATTTCTCTAGCGATGCCAGGGTTGCCG